TCAAAAAAAAAAAAAAAAAAGAGGTTGGACCGTGCCAAGTATGTTCAACCATCTATGTTTTCTAGGCTCTGATGACTGTACCTAGCAATAACCTCAGCGATAAGATATAGAGTCAAAACTGTCAAATAGAAGCATTTGCTCACTCTGGGATTATTTATTGAGCCATCATTTCAGTTTTAGTGTTGGCTGTGTATTTTCATTCAATGTGTTTTGACAGTCCATGTATGGCAACATTCAGTGACTCTTGATAAATGGAATGTTGCATTAAAATAAAGAACACATTACACGCCAGATGTGATGGCATGTGCCTGTAGTCCCAGCTTCTCAGGAGGTTGAGAAGGGAGGATTGCTTCAAACCAGGAGTTCAAGGCTGTAGTGCATTATGATCACGTCACTGTATACCAGCCTGGGTGACAGAGCCAGACCTCATCTCAAAATAAATACATAAATACCATACTTCACAGTCATTGTGGAGTATGTATTCAAGCAGTTATATAGCAAATGTATCTTGGTGAGAAATGTAGCAATATGTATGTTTGAGATTGCTTCCCCCACCCCCACCCCCTCACCCCTGTTTCCATCAGGATTTGACAGTGTTTTAAAAAGGAATCAGGGCTGGGCTCGGTGGCTCAGCCTGTAATCCCAGCACTTTGGGAGGCTGAGGCAAGAGGATTGCCTGAGCCCACAGGTTCGAGACCTGCCCAGGCAACTTGGTGAGACTTTGTCTCTACAATAACATCAAAAACTAGCCAGGCGTGGTAGCGTGCGCCTGTAGTTCAGCTACTCGGAAGGCTGAAGTGGAAGGATCGCCGGAGCCCAGCAGGTTGAGGCTGCGGTGGCTGAGAGCGGCCACTGCACTCCAGTCTGGGCGACAGAGTGAGACTCCAATTCAAAAAAAAAAAAGGAATCAGGATGGCAGTTTTCAAGGAATTTGGCCTATTCAAGGAGAAAACAAGTTGGGTTGCACAGTTTTAGATGACAGAAAGGATATAAATGTAACTGTAAACATAGTTTTATGTTAAGACCTCCAGAAGAATGAGTTAATCACACAATTTCTTTCCTTCAGGACCCTAGCTGATATATAGGGGATAGTCCCCTGTTATCATTCAAAAACGTGATTCACCGGGGCAGTTCTTGTGTGAAGGCGCTGGGCATTCTGCTGGCCAGTTCTTAGTAAAGGCTTTGCCCAGGGAACTGAGCTCCGCAATGGGGCAGTTTGCTTAACAGTGGCTGATGATGCCAGGAAAGAGCTTGGAAAACCTCCAGAAATCACTGTCTAATAGGTCTGGAGTCCCTCCCAGACATCAGTCACTGGACTTTATGTTTCATGGGTATCACAGCAAAGCTGTAGAGGAGCCAGGTCAGCCTGAATTTGTGTTCTAGACTTGCCATAGACTGTGTGACTTTAATTAAGCACAGTGTCTTACCTCTCTGAGCCTCAGTTTCCCCATTGAAAAAGGGGCTTAATGCCATTGTTTTGTTAAGCATTGGCCAAGCCACATGGCTTGTTAGGCTATGGCCACCATGTTTCCTAGCTTTGGCCCTCTCCCTTACCTTGGGGAGATGAATCTCCTGTCTCTCTCTCTCTCTCTCTCTCTCTCTCTGTCTCTCTGTCTCTCACTCTCACTTTCTACATAAACTGTGTTTTCCAATCTAAAAAATAAATGGGGTTAAATAAGAGCTTCCTTTAAGGGACTGTCATGAGAACAGTGTCTGGGATGTCTTCAGCATGGTGACCGACACATGGTAAGTAATATAATAAGATTTAAAAAAAAAAAGTCACCATTTGCAGCCCCAGCAGGAGCAATCATAGTAGTAATAATAATTTAGAGTCCCATCTTCCAGCAGAGTTTTGCATCTCTCTGGGTTGTTGACCTCAGAACCATAAATGCCGGACAGGAGATGGATTAATGCACCAGGATTAATGCACCAGGCAGGGCTGTCTCCCAGTGGGGGCTGCAGCTGGTGAGGACCCTCAGGAGGGCAGATTCTTGCCCAGCACCCATAAATGCCGGACAGGAGTTGGATTAATGCACCAGGATTAATGCACCAGGCAGGGCTGTCTCCCAGTGGGGGCTGCAGCTGGTGAGGACCCTCAGGAGGGCAGATTCTTGCCCAGCACCGGTGCAGTGATAAGTGGCAGCAGGAGCCCTGACCTGGGAGCAGAGGGCTTATGGCTCTGGGCTGGACTTCGTCTCAGCAGGTCCCGAGGTTTCCAGGGAAGGGCCTTTGTACAGCCTCAGGGCCAGAATTTTGGTGAAGACTGACCTTCCATGAAGACCTTGACTCCGGGTTGCTGGAAAGATCTGGCTCCCTTAGAGAGAGCCCGTGGAGGATGGTCGTGCTGTTGAACCAGATCAGTCTCAGGGCTCAGCATCCAACCCTTCAGATAAAGCCATGCCCAGTGGGGAAAGCGTCCTGCTGATCCCCACAGAGGACAGGAAGTGCTATAGGACTATGTGTGCTAGGCAGAATTGTGGCTGGTTCACCTTAATTGGGCTTCCAAGGACAGGCAGGGTGACTCCTGCTACTTTTGACCCAGGAAAAGGAAGTCGAGCTGCCTCCCAAAGTCAAAGGGGCAAAATCCATTTCCTTTTATTGGATCAAGGTGTGAGCATCAACTTGAAGCCGTCTTGCATCACCCCCACCTCTCTCCACAACCTCTGTGGCCACAGCTCCCCTTATTTAGCATCTTCCGAATAATGCTAGTGGTCCTGTTCAAGTAGAATTGCTTAACCCTCCTGGTGCCATTTTTCAAAAAAGCTACCAAAGGACTCACTCCAAACCATCCTCACTTCAGATCACATCACTCAGAGGCAAATTAAGGGAAGAGAATCCAATTAGTTAATCCTCTCCTCTGTGCTGATCACTGTGCCAGAAAACTGTCTCAATTCTCAGAAAGACAGATGCTATCACCCACATTTTAGTGATAAAGAAACCAAGACTCAGAGAGGTTATGCAACTTGCCCAAGGTCACACAGGGAGAGCTGGCATGTATACTCAGGTTGCTAGGCTTCAAGTCATTTCTTTTGCTGCTTTAGATAACTGGGGGGGGGTACCAAGAGGTCTGGTGGACCCCATGCTCCACCCCAAAAGCTCAGTATCCATTCTGATTGGCCAGATTTCAAAGATCAGCAACTTCTTTCTTGTTTTCACTTTCAGAATAAAGAGATAGAAGAGCTCACCAAGATTTGTGACGAACTGATTGCCAAAATGGGGAAAAGCTAACTCTGAACCAAATGTTTGGACTTGACCATTGCGTGCAATATGACCGTCGGCACACTGCTGTTCCTCCAGTTCCTTGGACAGGTTCTGTTTTCACTTTTTCGTATGCACTACTGTATTTCCTTTCTAAATAAAGTTGATTTGATTGTATGAAGTACTAAGAAGACTATCAGAATTTCTTGCGATTGGTTTTCATTTTCCTAGTATAATTCATAGCAAGTTGACCTCAGAGTTCCTGTATCAGGGAGACTGTCTGATTCTCTAATGAAAGACAAATTGCTGGCCTTGTACACGAGTTTCCGGGGTGAGCAGCTTTTGGATTTCATATGAACATGTACAGCGTGCATAGGGATTCTTGCCTTAAGGAGTGTAAACTTGATCTGCATTTGCTGATTTGTTTTTTGTTTTGTTTTGTTTTGAGTTGGAGTCTCACTCTGTTGCCCAGGCTGGAGTGCACCAGCACACTTACAGCCACCCCAGCATCGATCTGCTGGGCTCCGACGATCCTTCCATCTCAGCCTTCCAAGTAGCCGGAACTACAGGCGCGCACTACCATGCCCGGCTAACTTATGATGTATTGTAGAGACGAGGTCTTGCCATGTTGCCCAGGCTGGTCTCGAACCCACAGGCTCAGGCAATCCACTTGCCTTGGCCTCCCAAAGTGCTGGGATTACAGGCTGAGTCACCAAGCCTGGCCTGCTGATTTGTTTTTAAGAAGAAAAAAAAAGAAATGCATGTTTCGAATAAAATGCTCTATTGTAAATAAAATTTTTCTTTGTATCTTGGCAATAAATGTGGCTGTGATTTCTTTTCTGGGAAGGGTGGAGTCTTTTCTCATTTTTGTTAAATGTCGGATTTGACCTTTTGTTCTTCTCTGTCGGGGGCTTGTATCTTTATCCATAGCTTTGGGTGTTTTTTTCATTTGTTTTTTTGAGTTAAGGTCTCACTCTTACCCATGGCTCTAGATCCTGGGCTCAGATGATCCTCCCAGCTTAACCTCCGAAGGAGGTGGGACTACAGGCACGTTCCATCGTGCTCAGCTAATTTTTTTATTTTTTGTAGAGACAGTCTCGCTAAGTTTCCCAGGCTGGTCTCAAACTCCTGGGCTCAAGTGATCCTCCCACCTTGACTACCAAGGTGCTAGGATTACAGGCATGAGATACCACACCTAGCCATTGCTCTAGATTTAAGTAACATTTCCTTAAATCTGAGTTTGTAAGATGAAGCTAATGAGAAATATTACTTGCTACTTAAATAATTGAGTGGGACCGGGTGCGATGGATCACGCCTATAAGCCCAGCACTTTGGGCGGCCAAGGTGAGAGGACTGTCTGAGCCCACGGGTTCGAGACCAGCCTGGGCAACTTGGCGAGACCTCATCTCTACAATAAATCAAAAAAAAAAAAATTAGCTGGGGATGGTGGCGTGTGCCTGTAGTTCCCAGCTACTTGGAAGGCTGAGGTGGAAGGATCACCTGAGCCCAGCAGGTCAAGGCTACAGTGGCTGTGTGCATGCCACTGCATTGCAGCCTGGGTGACAGTGAAACTCCAACTCAAAAAAAAAAAAAAATTAAGTGAATGCATTGGATTAGCTTAGATTTGGTTTTTGTAAACTGTCACTCTTTCTATCCACTCCCTAAGTGTGTGAAGGTCACCTCCAAAACATCTATTTCCCTTGAAAGACTTAAGAGACAGTGAGCAGTTAACCCAGGCAAGACAGGTAGTAGGTGGTTAAGCCACTTTGGCGATTAAACTATCAATGTGCCTGATGTTCTATTCCTTCATTGCTCCTGACTTGCTCAGGGATCACAAGTTGAAGGGTGGGTAGGTGAGGGGAGTGGAGGTGGGAAAGGTATATTCCGGCAGATGAGGGGAGTGAGGGGGTGGGAAGGTGGGTTCATTTCCTAGCGCTGCCAAAACAAATCACCACAAGCTCAGCAGTTTCAAATAGCAGAACTTCTTTCAGAGTTCTGGAAGCCAGAAGTCCACAAAGTATCAGCAGGGTTGGTTCCCTCTAGAGACTCGGAGGGGATCTTATTCATGCCCCTGCGTCTGGTGGCTGCTGGCTTTCCTTGGCATCCCTGGGCTTATAGCTGAATCACCCCAATCTCTGCCTCTGTCTTCACGTGACCTCCTCTCTGTGTCTCAGATCTCCCTCTCCTGTTTTGTAAGAACACCAGTCATTGGATTTAAAGCTCATCCCAAATCCAGTATGATCTTATCTCAAGATCCTCAACTATATTTGCAAAGACCCTATTTCCAAATACGGTCACATTCATAGGTGGGGTGATTATGGTGTAGGCATACCTTTTTGGGGGATAAGTGTCATGCAAGTGGGATGTGGTATGAGCTGTTAGCTGGGAAAGCAGACCAGAGCCCCTGATGGCCTGGAGCTTGGTTATGTCTCTTTCTGCCTGAGGCATGGTGGCTGTGGGCTTCTCCCTTCACTGTAAGACCACCCTGACCCCTGATAGGACAGGCATTAGGCAGCCTCTGCTGTGGGAAAACGGGGGGGGGGGTCTCTTCTGTGACTTGCAAGGTGGCTGGAGCTTGGCCATGCCGGGTAGTAGCACCAATGACTGCAATGCAGATGTGCTGTTCACCTGGCAACCTGCTTCATGGGAAGCCACGGCATCTTTTGGGCTCCAAGATAGTCTATTTCTTGTCCACTCTTGGGCTTCGTCTGGCAGAACTTGCCTCTGGGAGAGAAGCTCAGCCTCTGCTGCCATCGAGACCCTCACCCTACAGGGACCCCAAGCCAGGGCAGGGGATGGGCTCTCTCCTACTGCCCGGCATCCTCTGCTTGGTCCCACTTCCAGGCCACCCCACGCTCCGGGGCCCAGCCATGACCCCCTTGCCCAGCTGCTTCCCTTGTCTGGACCAGACGCTCCACTGCCCTCGCTCTTGGTTCTGACTTCGACTGCCTTCTCAGAACAGCCCAGCTTCTATCTCTTGGTACCGTTTATTTCTCTCATTAAGTAAAATACTTTCATAGCTAAAAAAGAGACTAGAAAAGCAGGTCGGGGGAAAAAAACATATCCTCAAACCAAGAAACACTTAATGTTTTCATGTATGATTTTATGCCTTTTTTCTCAGTTTATGAACTATTTCTTTATAAAAGTGGGATTATTTGGAACTGGGGCACTACACCGTGCAGCAATTTGCAGTGATCTTGAATACAGTTTTGTAAGCCTTTTTTTTTTTTTTTAACCTGATAGCTGTGCCATCGTGTATCATCATGTACCATCAAGTTATGGTGAACTTTTATATCAATAAATATAGCTCTTCATCATCATTTGGAATGGCCGCATGGCATGTATTTAACCAAACTGCCACTAGTGGGCATTTATATTGTGCCCAATGTCATATATCATGCATACTGCATAAGTAACCTTATATACATTTCTCAACATATTTCTTTAGGGCAAATTTCTTTTTTTTTTTTTTTTTTTTGAGTTGGAGTTTCACTCTGTTGCCGCAGCCTCAACCTGCTGGGCTCCGGCGATCTTTCCGCCTCAGCCTTCCAAGGAGCCGAAATTATAGGAACGTGCTACCACGCTCAGCTAATTTTTTGATTTATTGTAGAGGTGAAGTCTCGCCAAGTTGCCCAGGTGGGTCTCGAACCCGCGGGCTCCCAAAGCATGGGATTACAGGCTGAACCACCGAGCCCAGCGCAAATTTCTTAAGAGTGGATCACCTGGGTTAAAGGTGTCACTGCACTCTAGTGAAAGGCCACCAGGACACACCTGTGGCTGAACAAGCTGGATTTATTGCTTGTTACAGTGAGACGGGGCCCACACCAGGGGAAGCCAGGAGCTCTCAGTAGAAGGGGCACAGGATGGCTGTGGTGTACATGGTCTTGAACTTGCATTAGGTGAGTCTGAGGAGGATTTACAGAAGCAGAGCTTTGCTCTGTATTGGAAGCTGTCAGGACACGGAAGTAATTCTAAGAGTGGGTATCTCAATAAGCCTTACCTAGGAGAAAAGACTAAAGTCAAGCTGCAGTTGGTAAAGAAGCAACTGTCACTCCTGTGTATTGGCCAAGATTGAGAGACATTTGGTCTTCTTTTGTGGTTTGAATAACGTTTGTGTTCTGTCTGTGTTTAGACATACGCAAAGAGGGCTTGTGTTTTTCTTGCTTCATCACAGTGTGAGTGGCCTGTCTGGTGCTGATGATCTGTGAACTTGTTTATGGTCAAGGCCCAGCCATGAATGGCAGGACAGCCCTTAATGTCAGGGGCTACTTTTTTCTTTTTCAAAAATTTTAATTGTGGGAAGCCCTTTGCCAGATAGCCATCCACTGAGGTTGTACCAGTAGATAACCCTTCCCCTCCCCTCTCAGTAGTCTATACCTTTGGGGGTATGAACTACAGTTCTGAGCTGCTCTTTGCCTGGCCACCCAGCCCAGGGGAAAGCACTAGGTTGGGGCTCGGCTCCTTTCCTATGTTTTGCTGCTTTGCTACCCTGGCACTGCTGTGATTGCAACTCTATCCCTAGAATGCGCCAGGAAAAACATGCGTCATCTCATCCATCATTTGTCAGCATGCTCTGCTGTGGGCGTGGAGCCCTGTGTGTTGTCATTTACGTGGCTTTTCCCTTGCAACTTGTAAGGGCTATGTCCAGGTGAGCAGAGGAGGCCCCCACAAGAGGGGGCTGAGGTGGATACCGCACCCTCTTCCTCCTCCACTCCCCCATGGGTGATTAGGCAGGCAGGAGGGGAGGAAGGCTGACTCCAGTGCCTCGAGGCAGCCCCAGCCCTAGTGAGTGGTCAGACTGTAGGATCTTGACCTAGCTATGTGTTTGGAGTAGGCCACTCACCCTTTCTGGGCCCAAGGCTGAGCATCTTACTTACCAAGCGCCTGGCCCCCAGCACCCATATGCATTGAGATGAACTCCTCTTTGTCCTACTCTTACTTTATCTCATGCCTTGCGCACCCTCGGATGGCTGCTGAGGACTCCTATGTCGTTTTGCTTTGCTGGGTGAGCACAAGAAGCAGGTGCCTGACCCCATTCCAAGGCTCTGCCTCTCTCCCCCACAGCTTTGGGATTCTCAGCATTCTTAGGAACTTTGGTTTGCCAAGTCAGCTGAAATCTTGAGCTCTGCACATTTTTTTTCCGGCTCAGCATTTCCTTGGGACTCTCAAGTTAAGTATGGCTTTCTTCAGATACTAAGATGACTTTGGGAGGAGAAGGAGGTTGTCACTGATGACTACAGGCCTGGGGGCTCGCTGGGATCTCTTTTTCCTTCAGGTCTGGGACTCAGCCCTTGGGTGCAAGATCTGAGGTGCCCAGGGCCATACCAGGGGGCATCCCCCTGCAGGCGCATCCACATTCCAGGCTGCAGACTCTGGAAGAGAGACGCCATCAGTGCTCTGCATGGGACAGGTGAAGGAGGTGACAGGACAGTGCTCTGCATGGGACAGGTGAAGGAGGTGCCTGACTTGCTGGCAGTTGTTCCTTTCACTTAAGCCTCAGCCCTGGTAATACGCTGAGGTTTCTTTTTCTTTCTCCTCCCTTCCTTCCCTTCCTTCCTTTCTCTTCCTTTTTCTTTCTTTTTTCAAATATGAGCTCTCATGTTTATTTAGCAATTTGTTTCTTCTCATGTTTGTTCCTTTTTTATTATTACGGTAAAAGCACACATAAGATTTGCCATCTTAACTATTCTAAGTGTACAGGACAGTATTAAATACAGACACATTATTGTGCAGCAGATCTCTAGAACTTTCATATTTTGTAAAACTAATTCTATACACATTAAAGAACTCCTCTTTTCTCCTCCCCTCCCCCTGCA